CTTTACAAATAGGCAGCAGTGGGAACCCACGAATGCGTAAACACCTCCTTGAGATGCCAGTAAGTAGACCAAGGCAAGCTCATTTTATAGAGTCATTTTGCGAAGCTCAAGTATTTCATGGGTTAATGAAAAAACAGTTTGTCCTAAACTAGAGATAGACTCTTCCAGTCCTGGAGCTCACTTTTCTAACACCATTTGTAATCTTATAGGATATCTCCCAGCACAGGAGAGGGTTGAAACAATGGCAGAGGGTAAGATACGGAGAACAGAGTGCCCTGTAAGTTTGGCTTGGGTCAGTGGCTTTCTCCAGGACCCGTTTAAGGCTGCTCTAATCTAGCAATGGAGGGAGTTTAAGGAGCAGAGGTTCTGCGATCTCACTTTTCTAATTTCCCTTTAGGAAGCTCGTTTTAGAGCTGTTGGAGGGACAGCATAAGCCACATAATGGGGGCCAGTCTGGTTGGCTGAAGGTACTCTGTGTGCTTTGTGACTGCATATAAAATAATATCCCTTAAGAGCATAATAGCTCCTACCTCTAGTGAGTGTAACAAAATCTTGAAGGGCTAATTGGGAGTAGGCTCCAAAGGGAGGGTCATATGATCACACCAACATTTCCTGACTGGTTGGGTATTTTGGTCCCATTTAAGTACCAGTTTCTTTTGTCTGTATCTTGTATTGAATAAATGAGATTGACATCACAGGGGTATTAAAGGAGAGTGGTGGCCCTAAAGGGAGTTTGGCCCTTAAAACAAGTTCCACTTTCATGAAAATAGAATGCACCTTGTCATAGGAACATGGAGCATTTATTTTGTCCCACAGGGTGACTATATTCACTAGGCTGATTTCTAGTAAAACATCACATTCTTTGGATTAAGGAGGCCACATTACTGTCCCAGTCTTGAGGGCCTTTAAGGCATAGTTTAGTATCATTCCAAAAGGGAGACTTACCTAGTTGGATGTACATAGTGTTTCCTGCCAGAGTCACATCCAAAAGCATAAATGGGTTAATTATTAAGGGGATATCAGTTCTAGGGCTGAGGGGGAGGTGAGAGCAAACCTAGCAATTACTTTGGTTTGTCTCATTGGCTGCTTGGTGGGCTAAGAGAACGAGGACATTATGATCTCAACAGGAAAACACAGGACAGAGTGAAACAAGCAGGAAACAGATGGGGATCTTTGTGGAGAACTGGGATATATTTAGGGCAAAGAGGAGGAGTCATTAAAAATGGAGACAAGGTGTTGTGATGGATGCAAGAATCGTAGGAAAATGCTTAGTTAGATGGCAAGGATGAAAAGACAAGGGATGAAGAAGGCAACTCCAGGGGATTTTGTTCTGCAATCTTGGGTAGAAGCTGCTTACTTTGTGACGTCATCTACTTATTCTGTAGTTCTTTGGATGGCTTTCTGCCTTGGCTGTAGCTGACTTCTGGAGGCTCATGATAGAGCCTCACTTTGAGGGTTCCAATTGGAGTGCTTTTCTAATCTGAGTAGTTCTTGTATTTCTTTAGCTGTGAAAAGTGGATCCAAAGTTGAACACCCTTTAATTTGATAGCCGTGTTAGCAATGAGTAAAACTGTATAAGATCCTTTCCATGTGGGTTGAAGGTTATTTTTCCAATGGTAGCAGTTCCAAATACCAGATTTCCTGCTTGTGACTCGTGTAAGGGCTCATCAGGGAGTTTGAGGGGAAGGGCAGCTTTGACTACTTGTTGATCATGGGATTGTGTGCATTTAATTAATTCCTGATAGTATCAGTAAGAGTTAGTTAAATTGGAATCTTCTGCTAGCCAGAATGAGTAGAACATTCTCATGGGTCTTCCTGCAGTGATTTCAAAGGAGGGATAGCCTACAAGATGGTAGAAGTGAGGATCTGAGTGTCATAGGGTGATGAGTAACACTTGTCACCATGGTAAATTCAATTCTTCAAATAGTTCAGCCAGTTTGGTCTTCAGGATGTCATTGGTTCTTTCTATGGTGTCTGATGATGGACAATGGTAAGAGCAGTGAAGTTTTTGACTAATGCATGTTGCCTTTTCAATTTCCTATATAATTTTGCCAGTGAAATGTCACCATCTCTCAGTAGAGATGGTAGAGGGGATACTCAAAGTGGGGAAAATTTGTTGTGGGAAAATTTTGGCAACTGATGTTGCTGAGGAGTTTCAGCAAGAGAAAGCCTCTCACCATTTAGGAAACATGCGGGTTAGAGTGGGTACAGATCAGAGATATGTATGTCCATATTGGAGATTTTTTTGGCCACAAAGTACAAAGAATTTTACCTAACTTGATTTAAGTCCTTAGTTAAAGAGTGCTAGGCTGAATGGGGCAGAGGAACTTGGGGTAGTAAGACAAAACCATTAAGGGACACAGGGATGAAAAGGAGGAGTTGGGGACCTGTATAAGGAGTCCTTTGGGGGAATACAATAAATTTTGATACCCAGATTCATGATAAGATCCCTTTTTAACAGATTTGCTGTAATAGCATCACTGAGAAGGAAGTTGTGCTGAGCTTTAATAGATCCCATAGGAATGTTAAGAGGCTGAGAAAGAGGCAGATAATGAGGTAAATTATCAAAATCTCTCAGTGATAAAGTTTTTTGACTCCAAGGAATGGAGGCAGAAAATGAGATGGTGGTAAAAGTAGAACGTGATGCCCCAGTGTTGATGAGAAAGGTGGCAGAGTGCCCGTTTAGACTTCTTTCCCCTTGTGAGTTTCATGGCAATTGAGAGCATTGGACATTTCTATCCTCAGAGGGGAATCAATAATTTTCTTGTGAAGTGATGGAGAGTTCAGCTTTTTTCCCTCCTTTTGAGGACCCTTTTTCCTTATTATTTTAGCGAGTGTTACAACCAATGGGAGCCCACAGTTCTAGGGCTTGCTGTAGAATAATGTTTTCAGGTTTTTCTAACCTTTGGTTTTGCTTGGGAGCAGGTGTCAGCTGCACCCTGGGCTTATCTGCAGGAGATGGGGGTCCTGGTGACCCTTATGCTCGCAGGGAGCTGCGGGGCTGGAGATGTAGCTGGTGGAAGACGTTCTGGGAGAGAAGGATGCAGGGGAAAACTAGGAGCACAATATGAGGTGACTGCAGGGGCTATAGGGCACTTACCGGGCCAGACGTTTTTTCTGAAGACATTGTTTAAGAACCTTGACAGTTTGAATTATTTAGTTATTTATTGGCTTCTTCATCACAGGCGAAATAAGCAGATCATTGTACATCCAAGATTTTTGTTCCCTTTTTGGTATAGGGCTTCTCTTAAGTGACTAATATGGAGATATCCCAGAAACCCCAGAAAGGCTATTGAAGTTCAAGAAGATCTTTATTAAAGTTTTGCCAGCAAGAAAGAAAGTAGATAGAGTTAGGACCGTGGTGGTGAAGCTCATAGTATGCAGGAACTTAAGAAGGGAGAGTTTTAATTGACTAAGAAGTTATGTTCTTAACTAATAATATTTTGCAGACAGGGAAGCCTGGGTGTCTAACCCAGCTCCTAGAGTGTGCTCAGAAACTTAAGAATCAAAATCTATCCTCATGTTGCTTCAACAGGCTTCCATCTGGGACAGTAGATCAGGAGTTGAACTCACCAGTTGATAAACAAATGAGCAAGCAGACAGAGGTCTTGGCTAGTGCTGAGACCAGTTGTTGTGTCCCAGAGTCTGATGGTGCTTGCTACCAAGATCTGAGTCACAGCACCAAGAAACTGTCGAAGAGAAACAGAGCTGGGCATTTGCCAAAGGCCGCTAGACAGATTTTATTTGCACTATTGCAGTAGGGGAGAGAGACTCCAGGATAAACTGAGTTCAATTCTGCTAAAAAAAAAAAAAAAAGGAAAAGTGGGAAGCTTTTAAAGTGCTGGGAAGTGCTAAAGGACAAGTACTGAGGGACATTCTTGGGGACTATATTTCAAAGGGATGGCTCCCAGGTCCTTGTGCAAGACATTTCTATGTTGAAAAAGATTTTGATTTCAAATGGGCAGAAAAAGGATTTGCAATTGCAAGTTTTCTAAAGTAAATGCTCTAAGCAAAGGGAAATCAGAGACCTACAGGTTTGGGCAGGAACAAATAGCAAACACTGTTGGCAGCCTTGAGCTTTCTCATCATTAAGGATGCTGGGGTGATCTGCGAGACACAACCTTGAGCTGTAAAAGCCACGCTAGAGTTTGGTCTCTTAGATTCTGTGTGTGGGGGTGTTGGATGGAGTCATTTGTGCCAAGAGTTTGTAGTTCTCAGATGTAAGCTTCATGATAAGGGACTCGTTGAGTCTCTTTTCCTTTATAGTCACTAGAACTAGTTATTCTTTTATTGAGTGAAGGAAAGGTTAAACACATTAAGCCAGAAGGCCTCAAATTGTTAAAATGTGCTAGAGCAAATTGCCAAGAGCAGGTACAAGATATAATTGTTTAACTTGAAATTAGTTCATTCTTATAAAATAATGGTACTGAAATACTTAACAAATTACGTAATACATTCCTATTTTAAATTTTCTTTAAAATTAAGTATATCAATTAAAAATAGTTTTTTCATAAAACTGAATACCCTTTTACTCTACTTGCTCTCTTTGTAGTAAGAGATGAACTTTAACAGAGTACCTGAATTCAAGAATAAAACAGTAGCTGTCTATAATCAGTTGAAGCTATCTTAAACATCTAAGGACTAAGCTTACTGCCCAGCAGTTTTACTTTTTGACATTTTTTTCAGATTTTAATAAAATATCTGGAGGTATATTTACCCAATTTATATTGTTTTTATATTTTTCGCTATGTACATTTTGATTGATTTAATGGATGTTCTTCAAAAAATAGTTAGCAGTATCTCTTAAATGTGTAGTACAATATTCCACACTGTAGAAACTGAAAGAAATATTCAAAAAGCCAAGAAGGGACAATTTTACTTGTTCCTAAATATGTTGCTATTTGAATGACTTCAAAAGTAAAAGTTCTATTCTATTCTGTTCTAAATTCTCTTCTCTTGTTCTATTTGACAGATATTTACTGAACAGCTCTTAGGAGATAATGGTTTCTGTGCCAGAGTTTTTCTTCCTTTGGGAAGAAGATCGAGATTCAAAGTCAATGTATTTACTGTTATTTTTTACCTTGGGCCCCAAAACCCAAGAGATTTGTTTTGTGCCAGGAGCCTTAAAAGAATATACAAAGGCTCTTTTCTTGTAAAATCCTTGATGAATTACAAATACTGACAGGAATTTCTCAGCAGTGTTAAGTTGCCTGTTGAAGTCTACAAGCTTAAAATCAGTGCTCTTCTTCTCTATCAATCTTCATCTCTGCTTCAGTTACTAACATATGGTACATCTCCAAAGGTAGGTGGTTGCAGAAGATACCTTGAGAGGTCTTTAGCCCTCCTTTCATCCAGAGAAACTTACAAATCTTTCAAGCCATTTAAACTTATCATGGGTTTTAATTACTCAAGAGAAGGAAATTCTAACATCTCAGTTCAGTATTTAATATATATTTACTGAGGGTAAAGTTTTCAGGCTGCCACTGAAACCCGTTTTTTTTTTTTTTTTTTTTTTTTTATTGTTCTAGCATGTGGAAAGTGTTCTCCTTATATTCACATACAAAGATACCCAATAAGCATTAGTTGAGAATGTCAAATTGAAGATGATAATAAACATTTTTTCCTTATACTAGTATATTTGACTGGATTCACTTAAAACAAAAAAAGCAAATGCAGAATATATTTTCAATTTCTCTTTTGGTCCCAAATATTTAGCTTTTATGAGCTTGTTTGTTCCCTGAAAACATTTTCTGTAATCTCTCATATTCCAGGCTAAGTGTTTCCACTGTATCAATCATTACACTTTATTTTTACTTTTCCAAGTGTCTTTTTTCTTTTTTGGTGCAGAAGGCCAAAGAATGCATTTTCTATTTAAGAATCAAATCTGCTTAGAATGGAACAATAGATCAGCTCTTGAGATGTGACTGTCCATGCCACAAAGACTAATGTACGTGAATTACATACAGAGAGAGAGAGATTGAGAGAGAGAAGGAGGCAAGGAGAAGTTAGAAAAATAAGAGGAGGAAAACATCAGATGGAGAAACAGCTCCTGTCCTTTAGAAGCAACTGATTAAAAATTATGGAGTAATAATATGATTGATGAAAAAACAAAAATGTGATGGTTATACACAGCTTCTTAAATCCAAATTTAATTTTTTCTTCTCAAATAGATATATTTATCTTTAGAAAGCTGGTACCTAAATCACTGAATGGCCATTAAAAGAGTTAATTCTGGGTGTGTTTCTTGCAGATAAAGATATTAAAAAGTGAAGTGTTGGGTTATTTACCATTGGTACAATAGCCTGAGGCTGAAAGCCCTTAGACGGGTGTTTCTTTTTTATGTTTTGGTAAGGAAGATTGTCCCTGAGCTAACATTTGTGTCAGTCTTCCTCTATTTTGTATGTGGGATGCCACCTCAGCATGGCTTGATGATCGGTGCCCAGGATCTGAACCCATGAGTGCTGGGCCACCAAAGTGGAGCAAGCAAACTTAACTGATATGCCACTGGGCTGGCCCCATAGACCAGTGTTTCTTGATGGATGATCACCTGATGACAGATGTCGGAATTGCATGAAGTTCTCTCTCTTTTTTTTTTAAGGGTCTTTTTCTCCATTAAGAAAGAATATATGTTAATTATAAGCGTTAAAATATTGCAGAAAGTTAAGCTTTCCCTAGTCCACATCCCAGAGAATTTATTTATTTATGTGACAGTTTGTGTAGTAAACAATTCAACCTTGACCAAAGAGAGGTCTAGCCTTTGCCCTGTATTCTGGGCAGTAATCTCCAAACCCTTGGAGTGTCGTGCTTGATGGGAGTAGTTTTGTTTGCCTGTGGGCCTTGGGCAAGCCAGATGGTAACAAATGTGATTTAAGGTGGGATCATTTGTTTATGTGGGTCAGTTAGATCTCCGGAGGAGATGAAACAGATCTGTCAGATGGATAGTCAGTTTTGCCTGGTGTGATGGAACCCTAATAAGGTCTCTGGACACCCAGGCTCAGGTGAGCATCCCTGGTTGGCAAGACTCCAGCATATTGTCATACACTGATGCCCTGAAAGTAACACTGTCTGTGACTTCACAGGTGAGGACAACAGAAGCTCCACATTTAGTACTTTTCCTAGACTCTGCCTTATGCACTTCTTCTCTTAGCCAATCTGAATATAATAGCTCTCAGTGAGTTACATGAATCCTGCTAGTAAAGTATTGAATGTGAGGGTGGCTTTGGGAACCCCTGAACTTGAAATTAATGTCAGAAGTTAGAGTGGCATTGTGCATTCCTAACTGTACAGCTGGCAAACTTTTGCAGATGCCTGTAAAAAACAACAAAAAACTTACTGTGAAAAATTTTTAAATCTGAAAAAGATGTTATGTACAACATAATAAAAACGGATATACCATCAAATAATGTTGATGCCTCCAACTACTTCTCCCCAAGCTCATCCCACACCTTCTATCCTCATCTGTTTTTATAATTCCAGTTCACTAGAATTGTTTGCATAGTTAAATATATACGGTTTCTTGCATGACTTTAAGCTTCATATAAAAGATATCATCCTGTATTTATTCCTGTGCAACCTGCTTTTTGTCTTCAAAATTCTACTTTGAGAATTATCCAGTTTATTGTAATTAAACAGTAAACTACTGCTTAACTAAAGTACTGAGAATTATCTAGTTTACTCTTTGTTGCCCCCAAACCAAGATGTCATCTTCCTTCCTCTTCCCTTGTTCTTTTTTTCTTTGATGTTTTTCCGTAAGGAAGATTGTCCCTGAGCTAACAGCTGTGCCAATCTTCCTCTATTTTGTATATGGGCTGACACCACAGCATGGCTTGATGATCGGTGCATAGGTTCATGGCTAGGATTCGAAACTGTGAACCCTGGAATACTGAAGCAGAGTGCACAAACTTAACCACTATGCCACTACGCCAGCCCCTTTCTTCTCTTGTTCTTAACCAGGTCATAACCAGGAAACAAGTACTAAATGTCACATATTCATTCTTTGAATTTAATAATATAAAAACCATTCTGAATTCACCAAAAGTTGCTGCTTTTTCTTGTTAGCATAATTCTAATATTTAAATAGTAAATAAACTCAGATATTACTAGATATATCAAAAATAAAAAACATCTTCATGGTAAAAATATAAAAATCATCATTACTCCTCATGAGGAAATCTCTATGGAAATCCTATTGTCCACAGAGTACGTCTTTGTCCTGTTGTGACAGATGGAATTCAGTAGATATGGTTTCCACTATGAAAGAAACTGATTTTATTGTAGAATATTAGGTTTCACTAGACTAAAATGTACATTTAAAGTGACATCCTCATGAGCTGAAAGTGTGCAATAAAGAAAACTTCTTACTTTCAAAATCATGTCAATACATTTTAATTAACAGAAGTAAAGTCCCGTGTCACTAAGAAACGCTAACCATATCTTGTAAAATTCCACAACATTGACTGCTGTGATGGCTCCTTGTGCACTAGTTAGCCTTAATTATGACTGGAGCTTAAGGTGAAAAAACGAAGCAAAAATGAAGTTTGACTATTTTGTCAATTTATAAAAGAGTAGAATAATTCATTCTAATGGTTTAAGGTTTTCTTCTCCAACTCCCAAACCACTGGCCCACAGGTCATCCTGAAGCAATTAATTCTCAAATTTTCAAGTAGCAAGTTAGTGGTTTGATCTCTACTTTTAAGACTTTTGCTTTATCCTTTTGCCCTGTCCCCTCCCATATGTTGATTAAATCTCCAGGGAGATGAATTGAAAGCTTCTGTCCACTCTATCAGTGGTCAATTTCAGCACAGTCTAACATGCAGGGTGATTTCATTTTCAATAAAAGTAGGTTTTAATCTCTCTAGGGAAAAATGAAACAGAACCTCTGCTGGTCCTTTCTACTTTAAACTTTGACTATTTCTTGCAATGATAATTTTTTAAAATTAGGATATGCTTTCTAATGGCAAGTTTAGTCTTGAAAATAAAACACAATAACAGATAATATTGTTATTAGTGAAGCTACTGCAAGAAAAAGAATCAAATAACAATGTTATTACTAGGAGAGCAGGATATGAGTCAGTTTATTTGCTCAAGCCTCAAGCTAACCATTCTATTAACATACTCAGTTGTAATTATTGCAGTAAAAAAGCATGGATTGGGCTGAATATTCTTAAGAATGTGTCTGCTTAATGCTTTCCAACAATCTGTTGAATAAGATTGAATTGGATTCTATTAGAAATTAGAAGGAAAGGAAGAAGAGATTTTTTTTAATTGCTTAGTCTTGAGAATAGTTTATTTCCAATATAAAACACTAATAGTGTTCCATATGTGATATATACCTTAGGCATCATGATAATAAAAGAATAATATTGGAGATAAAAAACACATCTGAATTGAAAAATAAAGCATAACTGTTGGCTCAATTTATCTGATTTAAATTAAATTTTAATATACCCATTATTACAATTTTATACATCCAATAAAATGCTTAGTTGGTATTCTTAAAGAACTTTGTCAAACATGCATGAATTTGATGGTAATAGAACCATTTTAATAATAACTTTAAAAAATCTGAAGTGTAAGGGATTCAAATAATACTCTGAATATATTAGACATTCTTTAGAGTTTTCTCCCTCTCATCTTTCTCTGGAAAAAAAAAAAAAAAACCCAGAAAACAAGAAAAGAAACGTGAAGTAATCCTGGTGACACATGGAAATAATTGAACTTTAACTGTCCTATTTACATTGTATGAGTCAACTGTCACTTTCAATTTTTGGGAAATGGAATTTATTCTTTTCTAAGACTCTAAATTATGTCTTATTACTACTTTTTGTTAGTTTTTTGTTTTAAGACTTCATTTTTTTAGAGCAGTTTTAGATTTACAACAAAATTGAGAGGAAGGTACAGAGATTTCCCATATATGCCCCTCTCCCACACTTGCATAGCCTCCCTATTTGTCAACATCACTCACCACAGTGGTACATTTTTTACCAAGGATGAACCTACATCGACACATCATAATCCCCCAAAGTCCATAGTGTATTATAGGGTTCACTCTTTGTGTTTTGCATTCTATACTTTTGGACAAATATATATTGACATACATCTATCATTTTATTGCCACTTTTTAACTTTTTTGTTATGCCTTAAACTTTTGCTAGTGTGGTGGCCTTGTAATGCGTCAGTTTGACTTGATTGAACTGTATTTCACTGAATTCGCTTCTTTGTATGTTTTTCAGTAGGGTGAGTTACAAAAATGATTTTTGTATGAGATTCTAGAGGGAAAAATGAAGCAACTGCCATTTTGTG